ATCGAATTGGTCTTTAACTGTCAACATTACACCAAGATTAACCGAGTAAGGGTCGCGGCCACCGAGTTCTACGACTACGCCTTAAGCTGGTGGGATCAATTGGTTACTTCTAGAAGACAAAATGGAGAATACCCTGTTGAGAGTTGGCAGGAAATGAAAACTATCATGAGGAAGAGGTTTGTGCCGAGCCATTATCATATGGAATTGCATCAGAGGATCAGAAGATTGGCTCAAGGCAACCGATCAGTAGAAGAATACTATCAAGAAATGGAAACCCTTATGTTGAGAGCTGATATCACCGAAGATAGAGAGGCCAATATGTCAAGGTTTCTAGGTGGCTTAAACCAAGACATACATGATAGGCTTGAGATGCAACATTACGTGGAGGTTGAGGAAATGTTGCATAAGGCCATCCTTATCGAGCAACAGCTTAAGAGGAAACCGGTGACAAAACCAAACTATTGAACCGTATCAACAACTTCTAGGCCAAGTTACTTGAAGGAGGAGAAGCTCAATCCTTACCAGAGAGATGGAAAGCAAATCGCGGTGCCAAAGCCTGAGAACAAGCCGTTCGTGAGTCAACAAGAAGGAAAAGGCAAAACCGAAGCCTCCACAAGTCGATCTAGAGATGTAAAGTGTTTCAAGTGCCAAGGCCGAGGTCATTACACCAATGAGTGCTCTAATAAAAGAGTCATGATTCTCAAAGACGATGGAGAGATCGAGTCTGAGGAAGAAAGTCCTGAACATGAACCTATGACCGAGTATGAGGAGATGCCGGTTCAAGGTTCGCTACTAGTTGCCCGAAGATCTCTAAGTGTTCAGTCCAAGACAGAAGAACAAGAGCAAAGGGAGAACCTATTCCACACTCGATGCCTTGTTCAAGGAAAAGTATGTAGCCTTATCATCGATGGGGGCAGTTGTACTAACGTCGCAAGTGAGGCCATGGTTAAGAAGCTAGGTTTAAGCGTTAAGAAGCATCCGAGGCCATACAAGCTTCAATGGTTGAACGAGAATGGAGAAATCAAAGTGAATAGCCAAGTCTCAGTCCCTATAACCATCAGACGATACCAAGATGAGATCCTTTGTGACGTGCTACCTATGGAGGCTGGACATATCCTTCTTGGCCGACCATGGCAATCCGATAGACGAGTCATACACGATGGTTTCACTAATAAGCATTCGTTTGTTTTCAATGGCAGGAAAACAACTTTGGTGCCTCTAACACCTCAAGAAGTGTATCAAGATCAGCTCCAACTCAAACAAAAGGAGAAACTCGTGAACAAATCATCGAACTTTTTCTTAAAAGCTGGTGATGTAGCAAGAGCCTTGATATCCAAGCAACCGGTTTTACTATTTTTCTTTAAGGAATCTCTTGTTAGTATCACTAACATTACACCGGTGCTACCGAGTGAAATGAATGATCTATTGCAGGCTTATAATGACGTGTTCCCGGAGGATAATCCTAAGGAGTTGCCACCAATTAGAGTCATTGAACATCAAATAGATTTCATTCCCGGAGCTTCATTATCCAATCGACCTGCCTACAGAACCAACCCGGTAGAAACTAAAGAGCTACAACGACAAGTGAACGAGCTCATGGAGAAAGGCCACATCAGAGAGAGCATGAGCCCTTGTGCTGTGCCCGTGTTACTTGTGCCTAAAAAGGATGGAAGCTGGCGCATGTGTGTTAATTGCCGAGCAATTAACAATATAACGGTTAAGTATAGGCATCCAATTCCTAGATTAGACGACATGTTAGATGAATTGCATGGGTCTAGCATCTTCTCTAAAATTGATCTTAAGAGTGGATACCATCAAATTAGGATGAAAGAGGGAGATGAGTGGAAAACTGCTTTTAAGACTAAGCATGGCCTATACGAGTGGTTAGTCATGCCTTTTGGCTTGACAAACGCACCTAGCGCCTTTATGAGATTGATGAATCATGTTCTTAGGGCGTTTATTGGTGTATTTGTGGTCGTTTACTTTGATGACATATTGGTCAATAGTAAGAGTCTAAGCGATCATGTATTGCATTTGAAATCTGTCTTAGATGTGCTTAGGAAGGAAAAATTGTATGCCAATCTTAAGAAATGCACATTCTGTACAGATAACTTGTTATTTTTAGGCTTTGTTGTAAGCGCAGATGGAATCAAGGTCGATGAAGAGAAGGTGAAAGCAATAAAGGAATGGCCAAGTCCTAAGACCGTGAGTGAAGTAAGGAGTTTTCACGGCTTAGTCGGATTCTATAGGAGGTTTGTGAAGGACTTTAGCACCATTGCTGCTCCACTTACTGAGATAATCAAGAAAGAAGTTGGATTCAAGTGGGAACAAGCGCAAGAAGATGCATTCCAAGCCTTAAAGGATAAGCTTACTAATGCTCCCCTCTTAATTCTACCAGATTTCCTTAAAACATTTGAAATCGAATGTGATGCCTCTAGTATAGGTATTGGTGCTGTTTTGATGCAGGATCGGAAGCCCATTGCTTTCTTCAGTGAGAAACTCGGAGGCGCCACACTTAACTACCCTACATATGACAAAGAACTCTATGCCCTGGTCCGAGCCTTGCAAACATGGCAACATTATCTTTGGCCTAAAGAGTTCGTCATACACACGGATCATGAGTCTTTTAAGCATCTAAAGGGACAGCAAAAGCTCAACAAGAGACACGCAAGGTGGGTAGAATTCAGAGAAATATTTCCCTATGTGATCAAGTACAAACAAGGTAAAGACAATGTAGTTGCCGATGCATTGTCTCGAAGGTATGCTTTAATCTCTACTCTTGATGCTAAGCTTATAGGGTTTGAGCAGCTTAAACATATGTACGCATCAGATTCTGACTTTGGAGAAAAATACCAATCCTGTGAAAAGTTTGCCAAAGATCATTACTTCAGGCAAGATGGTTTTCTCTTTTATGATAATCGCCTATGCATTCCTAACTGTTCTATTCGAGATCTTTTAGTCAGGGAAGCACACGGAGGAGGTCTCATGGGTCATTTTGGCATTACTAAAACTTTGAAAGTAATGCAAGATCACTTCTACTGGCCTCAAATGAAGAGAGACGTAGAGAGAATCTGCGAGAGATGTGCAACTTGTAAACAGGCTAAGTCTAAGGTTAAGCCCCACGGTTTGTACTCCCCATTACCTATTCCTTCTCACCCCTGGGTTGATATCTCTATGGATTTCGTACTTGGCTTGCCTAGGACTAGAACAGGAAAGGATTCTATATTCGTTGTTGTGGATAGATTCTCAAAGATGGCTCATTTCATTGCATGCAATAAAACCGATGATGCATCTCATGTAGCCAATCTGTTCTTTAAAGAAGTAGTTCGTTTGCATGGCATGCCTAGGACCATTGTTTCTGATCGTGATACTAAGTTTCTTAGTTATTTTTGGAAAACAATATGGTCTAAGCTAGGAACTAAGCTTATGTTCTCTACTACATGTCATCCGCAAACTGATGGACAAACTGAAGTAGTAAATAGAACTCTGTCTACTTTACTACGTGCATTAGTTAAGAAAAATCTTAAGTCATGGGAAGAATGTTTGCCTCAGGTTGAATTCGCTTATAATCACTCGATGCACACTGCTTCTAAATTTTCACCATTTGAGATTGTCTATGGCTTTAATCCTATAACTCCTTTGGATCTAACCCCCATTCCTTTGAGTGAAAGAGCTAGTATTCATGGGCAAAAGAAGGCCGAGCTAGTGAAGCAGATCCATGAGAAAGCCAAGAAAAATATAGAGGAAAAGACTAAGCTCTATGCGGAACAAGCTAACAAGAAACGACGAGAGATGATCTTTGAAGTTGGCGACCAAGTCTGGGTTCACCTAAGGAAAGAAAGGTTCCCGGCTGAAAGGAAATCAAAACTTATGCCGAAGGTTGATGGACCGTTCAAAATCATCAAGAGGATTCATAACAATGCTTATCAACTAGATCTCCGAGGTAAGTATAATATTAGTCCTAGCTTTAATGTTGCTGACTTAGCTCCCTTTTGTGCAGATGATTCAGATTTGAGGTCAAATCTTTTTCAAGAAGAGGGGGATGATGTGATTCTGGAAAGCAACAACAAAGACTTGGAATTGGAACTAGAAGATGGAGAGCAAGTAGCTGAGGAACAAGAGCTTGTAGCTGATCAAGAAGATCTTTTAAGCGTTCCAAGTGGTCCAATGACTCGATCAAGGACTAAGAAGCTCAAGCAAATCATTGGAGCTATCATCAAAGGCCTTGATTCGATTCAGGAGGGAAAAGAGCCGATCACAAGCACCCTGATTGTGATCCAAGTCCAAGATGGCTAAGTAGGCTTGAGATCCAGGCTTGTACTCTTTTTCCCTATCTCAAGTTTTGTCCCATTGGGTTTTCTTGAGATAGGTTTTTAATGAGGCAAGAATGGATCTCTATTTCGCCTAAGTCCACAAAGCTAAGCCCAAGCTGTTTCATCAAGAGGAGCGCCTAAATCGAATTCAAACTTGACAGCTTGTTCTTTGTTTATTTCCGAGGTTGAGTTAATGTTGTGAGACTCATCTCTTCTTTCTTTCTTCTTTATATTCGCTTGAACTCCTTTGTATCAAAAATCTTATCTTTTATTCTCAAACTCTTTCTTTAAAGACTAAGATCACGTTTGTTGGTGTGTCATATTCTTCAAACACCTTGATTCGACTTTGTGTGTGTTATATCACTTAGAAGATTCAAGTAGGCGTATCAAGAGTGTTCCGCGACTCTTGTGTGTGTCCTATCGATTCCCCAAGCCCCTTGAACAATCTCCGATTGTTTCCAAGGCCTATTTCATCAAGTTCCAGTCATTAGAGTGACGATCAAGGGCAGATCCATACTAGCATCACATCAAAGTAGGTCTGGAAGATTGAAGAGAATCAGTGAATTGCATCTTGCTTATTTGCCTTTACAATATCCATTGTTGTTTCCATATGGTGAAGATGGATTTAGACTCGGTATAGATATTGGATATGTAGATAAGAAGGGGAAGAAACGTTTGACGATTACTATGAGTGAGTTCTTTGCTTTTCGGGTTCAAGAGAGGTTTGGAGAATCTCCAACAATTGTAATGTCCGGAAGATTGTACCAACAGTTTTTGGTTGACGCGTTCACGATGATCGAGACGAATAGACTTCGCTTCATATCAATGAATCAACAGAAACTTCGATCCGAGACTTTCGATAATATAAAGGATGCCGCTGATAAAGGAAATTCTGATATTTCTGAGAAAGGTAGAAGAATTTTCATTCCTGCCTCTTTTACTGGTGGTACAAGATATATGCTTCAACATTATCTGGACGCTATGGCCGCGTGCAAACATTTTGGATTTCCAGATTTGTTCATCACGTTCACGTGTAATCCAAAATGGCCTGAAATTACTAGGCATTTACAAAGACATAATTTGAAAGCAGAAGATAGACCAGACATATGCGCTCGAGTATTCAAAATGAAACTTGATGATCTCATGTACGAGCTAACTAAAAAAAATGTCTTGGGAGTTGTAAATGCTGGTACGCTCTATTTAAATGTAAATCTATATTAATGATATTTGCATATGATTTTTGATAACTAATTTATTTTTTATGTTTTTACGTGTTTTATGATAGCAATATATACAATAGAGTTCCAGAAGAGAGGACTTCCTCATGCTCATATCGTTCTTTTTTTGAGGCCCGAAGACAAACTACCAACTGGTGATGATATCGACAAGATTATATGTGCTGAGATTCCTGATAAGGAAACTGATCCTCATCTATAAATATTGGTGATGTGATGATGCACGGACCATGTGGTGCTTTGGATAGGGATAGTGTTTGTATGGCTGATGGTAGATGTACCAAATTTTTTCCAAAGGCATTTAGTCCTGTTACTAAAGTTGATGATGTTGGATACCCGATATACAGGAGACGTGAAGACAAGAGATTTGTAACGAGGAAAGGATTCAATTGTGACAATGGTTATGTGGTTCCGTATAACAGAGAACTTTCTATTCGATATCGAGCTCATATTAATGTGGAATGGTGTATACAATCGCGTTCTATCAAGTATCTTTTTTAATATATTCATAAAGGAGCTGATTATGTTCGCGCAGTAGTAGGCAAAGATGACGAAGATGATGAAGTTAAGAAGCATTTCAACTGTAGGTATGTTTCTTGCAATTTTCATTATTTATCTTATCAATGAAGTCTTCAATACCATCATTGATATTTACTGTATGTTATGTTTAGGTATATATCACTTGGCGAGTCTATATGGAGGATCGAGGGTTATGATACACATAGTCGTACAGTTTCTGTAACAAAACTCCCGTTTCATCTGCCGAATCAGCAATTAATTATATACAATGAAGATGATCCTGCTGAAGAAGTGGTTGAACGTGTAACCGTTGGTATGTCCAAATTCATGGCTTGGATGGAATGTAATAAAGAGTATGAAGAAGGTAGGTCTTTAACTTACGTAGATTTTCCACATAAATTTGTTTTTGATACAAAGTTAAGGAAATGGAAACCAAGGAAGAAAGGGAAAACTATTGGTAGGATCACCTATGTTCCTATGTCTGTAGGAGAGACTTATTATTTGAGGCTCTTGCTCAATATAGTTATAAGTCCAACGTGTTTCGAAGATATAAGAACGGTTAAAGGGCATCATTATGATACATTCAAAGAAGTTTGCTTTGTCCTTGGGTTACTCGATGACGACAAAGAATACATTGAGACTATAAAAGATGCAAGTTTATGGGTTAGTGCAATAACTATGCGTAGGTTGTTTGTAGTTATGCTGACTACAAGAAGTGTTTCTATGCCTTCGAGAGTTTGGGATGCTACTTGGGATATTTTATCCGAAGACGTGTTATATACTCAAAGAAAAATTCAAAAAAAACCAGGTCAGTTTTTTAATCAATACTAAAATAATTATTTGTTTAACTATTTCACGTGATATGCTATATATTCATATTTCTGTTTGGGTTACTGATTTGCAGATCTTAGGCTGTCTACTGAGCAGGTTAAAAACCTTTGCTTAGCTGAGATAGAGATGCTTCTGCGTACTGCTGGAAGTTCTCTTACAGATTTTTCATGTATGTCGTATCCAGATGATTTGGATATGACTATACGCGGTAATCCTCTTATTCGTGATGAAAAAAGTTATAATCGAGATTATTTGCGAGTTAGACATGATGAGTTGTTTGCCACGATAACTGATGAACAACGACTTATCTATGATGAGATTCTAGAAGCTGTTTATTCAGGCTCTGGCGGAAGGTTTTTTGTTTATGGTTCTGGTGGTACCGGAAAAACGTATCTATGGAGCTTATTAGGAGCCGCGTTACGTTCAAAAGGTGATATTGTTCTGAATGTTGCATCAAGTGGAATTGCTGCTTTGTTATTGCAAGGAGGTCGAACGGCCCATTCGAGATTTGCAATTCCAATTGTTGTTAATAGTTTTACGAAGTGTGCAATCAAATCTCAATCAAACCTTGCAGAAGTGATCGATGCATCTAAACTGATAATATGGGATGAAGCATTAATGATGAGTAGGGATTGTTACGAGACATTGGATAGAACCTTGAGAGATATATTAAAATGTGACAAGCCTTTTGGTGGTAAAGTTATCGTTTTTGGTGGAGATTTCAGGCAAATTTTGCCTGTTATTCCAAACGCAGGCAAAACAGAGATTCTTATGGCTACTTTAAATTCATCTCCCCTTTGGTTTGGATGTAAAGTGTTGAGGCTTACACGTAACATGCGACTAATCCCTGGAGACAACAGTCGTGAGATGTGTGAGCTAGCATCTTTTACAAGGTGGATTCTTGATATCGGAGAAGGAAAAATAAATCCGAGTGATAGCGGAGAAAGCGAGATTGATATTCCAAGTGAACTATTGATTAATGATTGTGAAAATCCGATTAAAGCTATTGTTGATGAAGTTTATGGACAGGATTTTCACAAAAAGACTGATCCTAAGTTCTTTCAGGATAGGGCTATTTTGAGTCCAAGGAATGATGATGTTGGGCTTATAAATGATTACATGTTATCACAATTAAAAGGTATATTTAAATAGTTAATTTTTGAAATGTTTTATTATTTTCGTCTTTATTAATGTTTTAGATATTTTTATTTGTAATGCTGATTATCGTTTTGCATATAACAGGTGAGGAACAAACCTATCTAAGTTGTGATAGTATTGATCCCTCTGATAAAGAAATTGATACGAATGATGCATCTGAAATTCCCTCTCAGAGTGTTCGCTCAGACAGCAAAAACGATCCGGGTAATATGATATATACAGAAGAGTTTCTAAACAGTGTCAAAGTTTCTGGTTTACCCAACCATTGTTTTGCGTTTAAGAGCCGGTACTCCTGTTATGTTGCTGAGGAATATTGATCCTAGGAATGGTTTGTGTAATGGAACTAGGTTACTTATTACTCAGATGGCCAATTATGTCCTAGAGGCTATAATAATAACTGGTGACAAAATAGGAGAGAAAATTCTTATTCCTAGGATATTTTTATCTCCGACAGAGACTAAATTTTCTTTCAGAATGAGGCGCAAACAGTTTCCAATTACCCTTGCTTTTGCGATGACGATAAACAAGAGTCAGGGTCAGACACTTGCTAAAGTTGGATTGTATCTGCCTAAACCAGTCTTTACACATGGTCAACTGTATGTTGCTGTTTCGCGGGTAACATCCAAATCAGAACTACAAATCTTAATCACGGACAAAGACAAAAAGCCTCAAAAGAAGACATTAAACGTTGTATACAAAGATGTCTTTGATAATATTTAGTCGCTTTGTTGTTTTTGTGGCATAGCTTTTCTCTGTTCTATTGTTGTTTTAAAACTCAATCAGTATTTATTTGATTCTTGCTTAACAAAAAGAAAAATTTATCATCTATGAGTTATATTTTAAGGTTGGATTAGATTTAGATACAAAAATAATTCACTATTTATTTACTGATTCACTTTTTATTTAATGAATTTATTGATTTTATATATATCATAATAATCATATAATAATATCATCAAATAATATATCATCAAATACCATAAAGGAGAGAAGTCAAAAATATTACATAAATATGGCCATTCAAAGTTTTTTAAGTGCTAACCATAAAATAAAATATAGTAGCAAGAAAATTTCAAAGAAAATATAGTTCACCATCAACTATATTCTCAACTTTCTCTTTCTCTTCCTCTTCCCATTCTTCACCTTCTTCTCTGACTACAAGACGAAAAATATAAAAATAACGGTTATATCAAGTAATTTCCTAAAAGTTCTCTATAATTTAGTGAAAAATTTAACTGATTACCCATTCCGCTGTATCCATATGCCTGATCTCTGTCTCAACGAATCCACAATTTATGCATTTTAAACCTATTTCGAGATAAAGCCACAGTTCATGTTTCCCTTTTTTACAGCGTGATTTTGGAGATTCATCAGTTGATATCTCATTATCAGTCTATAGAGAGATATTACAAACAAAAACAATTGTTATACATTCTAAAATCATGGATCTCTAATCAAAAATATATTATTAATTAAATATGAATGAAAGTATAACTTACTTCTTTGATAGTCGGTGTGACTTTTTCAATTGGTTTGCTTTGCGATTCCATTTCTTCCCAACTCATATTTAATTCGATCTCCCAATCAGATGGCATAGGTGGTGACTTAGGTTCATCCTCACCGAAACGCATTCTCAATGGTGCTGGTGTGATTACGAGAAGTCCATTTTCATCGTATTTCTTTTGTTCTTTGTTCTCCATTTTTTTTGTTTGTTTGTTTGGTTTGCTAATAAAGAATGGTAAAAGTGGAGACGTTTTGAAGACCTTTGGGTTTGTAAATATATTCAATTTTCTCAAGTTTCAATGTTTTTGGGAGAAATACTATTTAGTGGTTACACAACGACTTTGAGTCTTTGACTTTAACTGATATCTCATTATATAATTTAATGCAATCAAAACTACAAACAATACTTTATCGTGATATATATTATAACACAGAAAATCTGAATTACAAAAACAATAGATAAATAAATATATATATATATATATATATTGTAATTTGCTTTCTAAATAAAACTTTATTCTATCATAGATAATCCCACTTCAGTATTTTTGTATAAGTTACAGACCATGTTCATAAAGTAAAAGTTATTCACTTTTCTCATAAAGTATGATAGTCTTCTACTTATTATTACATTTTTCAAGAAGATATTGATACTTACAAAAATAACAATTTATATTATTCTATGTGAAATATCAAAATAGACTCCTTATTACGTACATAAACTAATGGTTTAGGATAATTATCACCTAGAAGTTTTCATTTCAATTGATTTTATTCTTTTTCCTTTTGTGGTTAAATCTTAAGATAAATTAGTTAAGCAAGTTTTGGAATTTAATTTATGACGTAATGTAAAATTTACATTTAGTTTGGATTGTGATTTGTTTTTGAAGATATTTACAAATATTTAATGAGTAATATTCAGAATATTTACATTTTGCGAATATACTTTTTATGTTGATTTATGCATATATATATTTGTTGATTTGTTCACGGTCTTCAAGAAAGATTAACATTGAGTGATGGCAAATTATGAGTTTGTTCAAACACTGAGCTCAAGGAGATTTGATTAGAAAATTGTGGTAAAAATATTGAAAAAATGGAAGGTGGATTGTTCGTGTAGCAAGAGAAGCTTAAATTTGATCGTTGTCGACGAACAGGTATTTTGATTATATTTCGTGATATTTATATATATATATATACACATGTATTATTATTATCCTGATTAAGATATTTTGATTTGTTTGTATATTGATGTAGGGTTCTAGAATACATATTCGGACAAATAACCAAATGATGGACTATTTCGATCGGAATTGTATAGAAGAACAATGGATGATGTTATCTGGATTTCTTTTGAATCCTTATAATTGGAGAACTGTCGTAAATATTACGAAACATGATTATGTTATTACTTTAACGAAAAATACTATCCTTTTACCGGTTCTACCGGTAACAAACAATTCATTCCATAATTTTATCTCTTTCTTATCAATTTATGAGTACCCAAGTGAGCATTATTATTTGATTGGTGAGTTTAATTTTAATATTTCAAAATATAAAAGAAAATTAATTGTTTTAATTCATCGTTTTGATTTAGTTTAATTGTAAACTCAGATTTGATAGGATTGGTCGAAGATGCTAGGTACTTTACTATCACGTATCCAGATGGTACGACGAGGGAATCAATTCGGTTTCATATCATAGACGATGAGTAAGTCAATTTACCTATAATTTTTATATTTAATTAGTTCTTAATAAATTTGTTTGTCAAAACATAGGGATGTAATGCTTGAGTGTATTGCGCATGGTGCGTTAGCATTTGAGATAAATGAAGAGTGTGTGAAGTCTAAAGGACCTTTTACTATTTGTGTTTTAACGGATTGGTGCGTCATAATTAATCGGAGTATGTGTTCTAATGCTACGATTTTTTTTTATATAATTAATGTTTTATAAACTAAAACGAATCAAATTATGTACGTTTTTAGAGAACGTGATTATCCAAGATCATGAAGAACATGAAGAACATGGTTTATCCCGTTTTGACGTTGTTCCAGATATCAATCAAGTATCTATTTTAAAATCCAAGTAAGTAATTTTATTGATAATATTTATATTTGAATTAAAGTAACAACAATATTACAGGATAATAAATAAGTAGGTTGATTGATATACCTTTAAAATCAATATTTCAGGATTTGGAACAAGATCAATTCAGGATTTGGACGAGGTTGAATTATTTAGATGCAGCTGATATCTTATTGCCCTAATCTACTAAATTTATTAGTAATTAATAATGTTTTCAATATCACTCATACTGTTAATGTGTTATCTTAATATTTTCTAATTTTATCACGTATAATAATTCTTTCATCTAATTAAAGGGTTTTAAAATTCAGAATAATGAGAAAAAAGTCAAACAGAATTGTCAAACAAAATAAATGAAAACATCAAATGAAATTGATAGATTCACTGGCTAGGAAAAATAGGTGAGTGATCAAAAAAGTAGTCATCTTCAATGTTGTTAAAATCATCTATGTCGTCAAGCCTGCAAGAACAAGATAAATAGTGAGTCGAATATTCAACAATTTTGTTTAGGAAATTAATAAGATGATAACGGTGAACAATGCTTACATAAAATGAGAATTTTCGACTTCAGGAATTGGAGGAACGAACAATATTTCAGAGAATTCTCGACCAGAACAAACACGTATTTCATATGTACAATATGGAAAATTATATTAGCTACAGTTGATATAAACATAAATTGATATATGGTTGGTCGATAGAATGAGAAATAACCTCCATATCGACACATCTCCCAAAATCTCAATACACAGAAAACGATTTTGCGACGAGGAGTGTTTTTCCATAAGGATACAAAATGTTCAGCATCTCTTCCCCACGCTATGCAATTGATGTCGACACCCCTAAAAACCAGAATTAATATATCATTTTCCTTAACATCGAGAATATGATAGTAAAGATTTATATATGTATTAGTCTTTGTATCAATGGATTCTTACTCGAAATCTCTAATTGTAAATTTAAGAACACTTGAGTTGATTCTCTGGTTTCCGATCCAAAATTGGTCTTGACGTTCCAATTGACAAACTTTGATAATACCTCCAATCAAATCAACTAGCATAAAGCAATATATTCATATAGTTAAGTAAAGTATTAATTAATCTAATTGAGTATAATAAAATACTAAGAAAACATACCAACGTCTATGTTTTCCATCAGAGATTCGTCAAGGACTCTTCTAAAATTAGCAATTGAATACAACTGGTCATCTGATTTAGGCGATGTCTTCTCAACATGAGTATCCTCATCGATACAGATATGGAGACCATTGACTGTAATCCTCGAAGTTCCCGTGTGTGAAGTAATTTTAAAGTTACCAATGAAGTACCAATCTTTATCACACATCATGCCTTCATAACGATCTACTAAACGATTCGGAATCGATGCACGTATTCGATCACCCTAGATTTTCAGTTAAAAAATAATGATGGTATTGATAATATATTAAGATTCAGACAATATGTTATTTTTGAAGTTATACTTACATGTTCGTCTGCGAATATAAACGATCGCTGAACACCGTGAACACCTAGACTTTTCTCGACACTATTGATAATTTGAACACAAATAGAAGATCGATCAGATGCTATACCTAAACCAGAAATCATCGTGCAAGGAGACATTTTTTTCAAACATAGATGCGGTTATTCTCAACAATGAATAGAATCGGATTACGAGTAACAAATGGGTACTACTTTAAAGTGAAAACCACCGACAACTAATAGTAGGTTTTGCAATGTTTTGAAAATAACGGTCATGTTTACCACCGTTAATTTAGTTGAATATATATGTCATGTTTTGTTATAATTATAATATAATAATTATAAAAATCAATAATAGAAAGTCTATAAAAATTCAATACAATCATAAATAAAACATCACCATCAAGAGTCTCTATTTATGTTAAACTTCTATTAAGATTTAATATATATCGAGAAATTTTTAAATATATATGATGAATTGTATATCATTCAAATTTTAAGAGTTATCTTAGATTTTCTTTTAAATTTGCATAAACATTCTTTCATTCAATTTATATATAAATACATAAATTATACATAATCTCAAATATAAAATTATATTATATAATTTTTTAAAAATATAAAGCCTGGGCTTGGCGCAGGCAGTCACCT